GGGGGGGGTGAGGATAAGAACATATAAGATGTATTTTTTTAGCAAATTTCAAGTATACAGTACAGTGTCAATAATTATAATCACCATGCAGTATATTCAGTCTCTAGAACTTAGTCATCTTATAACCAAAAGTTTGCACTATTTGTTTAGTATCTGTCTCATGCCCTCCTACCCAACCTCTGATAACTACCACCTACCCACTGTACTGAGCTTGACTTTGTTTTTCTAGAGTCCACTTATAAGTGGGATAATGGGATTCCTGTCCTTCTGTGTCTAGTTTTGTTCCCTTAGCATCTTACCCATGCTATCCAGGTTCATCCATGTTGTTGGAAATAGAAGGGTTTCCTTCCTTTTTAAGTCTGGGTAATATTCCATTTTCTTTATCCATTTATCTGTCCATTTACACATAAAGTAATTATTGATAGGTTAGAATTTACTGTTGTCATTTTGGCAATCCAGATGTTTTATAGATCATTGTTCCTTCTTCCTGTCTTCCTTTGTGATTTTAGGTGTTTTTTTTTTTATAGTGATATGTTTTGATTTTCCTTTTTTTTTTTAATTTTTTTTAATGTTTTATTTATTTCTAGGAGAGAGAGAGACAGTGTGAACAGGGGAGGGTCAGAGAGAGAGGGAGTCACAGACTGAAACAGGCTCCAGGCTCTGAGCTGGCAGTCAGCACAGAGCCTGACGCAGGGCCCGAACCCACGAACCGCGAGATCATGACCTAAGCGAAAGTCGGACGCTTAACCGACTAAGCCACCCAGGCGCCCCTGATTTTCCTTTTTATCTTTTCTGTATCTACTCTAGGTTTTTGCTTACCAGGAAGCTTACATTAAACATCTTATAGATACAGAAGTCTATTTTAAGCTAATATGAACTTAACTTTGTTCATATTAAAAACTCAATGCTTTACTCCTCCTGCACCTATTTTATGTTTTTGATGTCCCAATTTACATATTTTTATATTGTATATTTAACAAATTATTTGTTATTTTAATTATTTGTCTTTTAACCTTTCACTAGAGTTATAAGTGATTTGGCTATAACCAGTACAATATCACTGTGTTCTGAATTTGACTACATATTTACATTTACCAGTGAGATTTTATACTTTCATGTAATTTCAAATTTTTTTATGTTTTATTTTTTATTTCTGAGAGAGAGAGAAAGAGACAGCGTGAGCAGGGGAGGGGCAGAGAGGAGTAGAGAGAGAATCGCAAGCAGGCTCTGTGCTAACAGCTCAAAGACATGCTAGGCTCGATCATACTAACTATGAGATTGTGACCTGAGCCAAAATCAAGAGTCAGACGCTTAATCAACAGAGCCACGCAGGCACCCCAAATTCTCTCTCTTTTCAGAAGGTCTTCTTTTCTGGGTAAGTATTCTTGGATGTTATTTTTTTTCCCTAGCACTTTGAATAATAAATCACCCACTAACTTCTGGCTCTCAATATTTCTGCTGAGGAATAAACTGGTAGCCTCATGGATGTTCCCCTTGTATGTGATGAGTGCTGGAGTCCAGCTCCAGCCAGGTCCAGGGGTCCCTGAAGGATGGACAGTGTCAGCAAGGGAGGGATGAGGAAGGCATGAGATTATTTCTGGTCACCAGCCAGACCTCTCCACACTGTCTGAGACTCAACTTTATTTTATGATTTAGTGTTTGGGGGACAACACAGAAGTGGCATTCTGATGATAAATTCTTTTATCAGTAAAGATTCTCTAGAACATTGATATGCAAAAGGGTATGGGGAACACCCCAGAGGTGGCATTAGCATAGTAAAGGCAAAGGTTAGTTCTTTGTGAGGAGGGGCCAATAGCCTGTTTATCACTTAATGGGAGGTATTAAGAAAAGCAGGTCTTTCAGGAACAGTGTTTCTCCCATAACCACAAAAGAAGAAGTTCCTACAGGAAGTTCCTTAACAAAGTGCAGTCAGCATATCAAGGCCAGAATGCGTAACTCTGAATACCAATCAACAGGGTGTCATGGGGGGGGTTGGTGCTCAAGCAGAAACAATTGGGTGGGAGTGGATATTGGTCGCCATCTGATGGTAAGAGTCTGTGCAACTTACCTTAACCTCACAAGGAGTTTTTTCTTAACTTATGAGTTCAGAAATGGCTCCCGACAGATGAGCTCCTTTTCTCTTAATCCTATCAAGATTTTTTAATTTTTTAATTTTTGAGTTTTATTATAATGTGTCTTGGTGAAGTCTATTTTGGATTCAACCTTATGGAGGACTTTTATGCTTTATGTCCTAAGATCTCCCTATATCTCCCTAGGTTTGGGAAGTTTTCAGCCACTGTTTCTTTAAGTAAGCATTCTTCCCACTTTTTCCTTCTCCTCCTGGGTCTCCCGTTTGTGAATATTGTTTCACTTGATGGTGTCCTCTAAGTCCTGTAGGCTTTTTTTCCTAGTTCCTCCTCCTTCTCCTTCTCCTTCTCCTCCTCCTCCTCCTCCTCCTCTTCCTCCTCTTCCTCCATCTTTTTCCTTCTTCCTTCTTTCTCCTCCTCCTTCTTTCTTCTTCCTCCTCCTCTTCTTCTTCTTCTTCCTCTTCTTCTTCTTCTTCTTCTTCTTCTTCTTCTTCCTTCTTCCCTCCCACCCCCCACTCTGACTGGATAAATTGAAATAATCCAGGAGGGTATGGTTGATTTAGGCAGTTGGGGGCCACGTTAGCCACTGCATGTCCTTGGCAGCAAGAGCAGTGGAGGGTTCTTTGTGGTTGCACAGCTGTTGGGGTCTTTGGTAGCACCACCAGATCCAGCACCAGGAGATTGGAGCAAGCAGAATGGTGGCTAGAACTAGAGCTATGCATATGCTCAACTGTGGGAGCTGAGAGCAGGTGCGTGCTCAAAACCAGGCTCGGGCCACTGGTGGGGACTATGGCCAACTGTGGGTACACAGGTAGCTTTGAGTGCCTGGGCTCTCTTTGGGTACTTTGGTGGCTTCAGAGGCTAGCCACTGGTGCATGCATGGCAGTGGGGGCTCCTCACTGGAGTTCACACAGGCTGTGTAGTTTTACAGCTTCAGGGTTTATCTGTGGTCTCAAGTGGTAGTGCATTCCAGTGACAGGAGTTAGGCCTGGCCTCAGAAACCTGAGGAGCAGCTGGCGCCTGGGCTGGTTTGTACATATGCCCAGTCACAGAGGCCAGGAATGGCTGCTGGTACAGTTTCCAGGCTCAGGGTGTTGGTGTTGACACTGGCTAAAGCAACTCAAGTGAGAGGAGATAAGGCAGAGCAGGACTCAGGGAGCTGTAACACACCATTGTGAAAACCTGTGGGACTATAAGCAGCAAAATCTTTAGAAGGTGCACAGTATTGTGCCAGCTGCTTGTTCCTTAGCAGCTAAGGTTTGTAGGGTCCTCTGCAGAGCAGGACATAGAGAACTATGGTTACTCATGCCACTTGGCCGATACTGGTAGTCCTGCCCTTTTTTGTTCGTAACCATCTCTAGATGTGTCAGCTGTGTCATCTCTGGGAAGTATGAAACCAAAGTGGGTCTCTTGTGTCATACCCTGAAAGGGAAAATTTCCCTCACCCTTTTGTCTAATACTCAGCAGGGACCCCTCTCAGGCTGGAAAGTGTCTTTCTGGTACTGAGCAGTGCTGGCCTGGGGTCCAGGGTGAGGCAGGCAGAATGAAGCTATTCTCCCTACTCTTGCTGTGCAGTTATTCTCAGGAGTTTTGCTCTACGGTGAAGGTGAAGCTTCTTAAATGGACTCTGAAGCTCTTGGGGCTGTTTTTGTTTGTGGATAGCTGTCTAATTCTTGTTCTCTGTGGGGTTACAGAGGCTGACATATCCTGTTCCATCATCTTGATGATATCATATCAGTTAGCTGTGGGGTTTTTTAGATGCTCTTTATTAAGTTGAGGAAGATTTCCTCTGTTCCTAGTTTGTGAGTTATAAATGTGAATGGGTATTGGAGATATCTATATTAAAACAAAATATAGTTTTGGAAGATGAAGAAAGATTTGAGCTATTTGGCTTGATAGACAAGTCCCAACTGAGAAATAGAATTCTCTCTCTCTCTTTTTCCTTCTGTCCCTTTAGGAAAATACAGGGGGGAAAAGATTTCCATATAATTGCATTATTTCTTTATAATAGCAGATAGATTTCTAATCTTTTTTTCTTAAAGTTTATTTACTTATTTTGAGAGAGAGTGAGCGAGCTTGAGTAAACATGGGGGGGGTGGGTAGAGAGATGGAGAGAGAGAATCCCAAGCAGACTCTGTGCTGACAGCAAGTATCCTGACATGGGGCTTGATCCCACAAACTGTGAGATCATGACCTGGACCAAAATCAAGAGTCAGACACTTAACTGACTAAGCCCCTCAGGCACCCCAGATTCCTAATATTTTTAGTGTTAACAACTAACTGGGTTTTTTAAAATTACCATATCATGACCTCTGTTTTTGAGTTGCCCCTGCTACAGATATATGTGAAGACAGAACTGGTCTGAGACAGTATACAGTTTGCCAGGGCTCTCTGGCTATCTCTACCAATCCACTTCTACTCTGCACAGTTTAGGAGAAGGACTAGTGTTACTCCTGTGTATTCCCCTGGAGGAATTTCTCAGTTGGGACTGGTCTATCAAGCCAAATAGCTCAAATCTTTCTTCATCTTCCAAAACTATATTTTGTTTTAATATAGATATCTGCAATACTCACCCACATTTATAACTCACAAACTAGGAACAAGGAAATCTTCCTCAACTTAATAAAGAGCATCTAAATCTCTACCAGATTTCCCCAGCCACATTTACATTTAAAAGGAGATTGGAATATAAAGGCTGGGAAGCACATCAGGTGGCTGGATGTCTCCTTTAGCCCTGTAGGAAGCTAGGCATTTGGGATAGATATTTAATGAGCATCTGGCATAGGGCCTGCTACTAAGTAGACAGTCATTAAGTGTTTGTTGAATAATTTCTGCCCGCTTCACAAATTTTCCACATCCTCTGAGAGACCTCCAAAACTTATGTAAGGCAATATGTCTTTTCTTTGACTCTAGTCTTTTGGTCCAGTGGGATTTATGAAAAGTGCCATCTCTCTGTCTGAGGATGAACAATGGAAGAGAATACGAACAGTACTGTCTCCAACCTTCACCAGTGGAAAGCTCAAGGAGGTAAGAAAGGGAGGACTTTCAATTAGGAAGTTAAGGAATGCACCTGGGCACAGATAGAAACTAAGATCATAGTCCATCTATTAAGGGTAGTCTGCTGAATTTGGGCTTTTTAAAAGGGAAATTTTATCCTCATGACCTAAAAGAGACATAATAAGATTTGTTATTAAAAAAAAAAATCACTGCTTTAAAAAAACAACAAAAAATCCTTGCTCTATGTTTGTGAAAGCCACATTGTTTTTGATTTTCCAATTTAACTTCAGGTCGTGTTGTATTTGTGTGTAGATGTTCCCCATTGTTGGCCAGTATGGAGATGTGTTGGTGAGGAACCTGAGGAAGGAGGCAGAGAAAGGCAAGCCTGTTACCTTGAAAGAGTAAGTAGAGCTGCACCTGCTGGGCTTCTGACTCTGTCATGACACTTTCCAGCTGCTGCCACAGAGCCAGATTCCCACTGTTGAGTTAGTCCAGTGAACAAACAGAAGTAGGTGTGTGGTGTTACAAGTCCAGTGGGCCACCCAAGAAGAGGTAGTGCCCCTCGAAAGGCAGGGTAGTCAGGAGAGAGAAGGTCTTCTTTTGTGTACATGATGCAGTATTAATTTATCTACTTGATTGTCACCTTGGATATTCTGGAAGACAAAAATAATATTGTTTGAAAAGAAGAAACATAATTTACCAAATCATTGATTGTGGAGAATATGGAATGGTGGGAGGGGAAGGCACTTTGTACATATTGGTGGGCATTGAATGAGGTAGAGAAATTATCATGTGGAACTTAGAACAACTTAAACCCCTACCTCATTTTCTTGAAGATATTAGCAAGACATTAAATATTAACTTTATGATCACTTGTTCTTCTTTCAATATCAAAGGAGAGATGGCCCTGCCCATGGGATGGTTAGAGTGACCATATATATTTATATAAAATTTTTGCCTAAACTGTGATATTTTTAAATTAATGTAGGGTGACCAGATGTACATTGGGACTGTCCTAGGAAAACTAGTGGATAAGATCACTTAGCTATGGCATCCTGCAAATCAATTTTGGAGTAATTTGGCATATATATTTTGACTAGGAACATTCTTAGTTCTTACATTTTCCAGCTATGAGTGTGTCCTCAGGGCAAGCTCAGATCACTGGAGTTGAGGAAGAGAGGATATTTCAGGACCCTTAGTAGGGTGTAAAGAAGAATGGATGATGTTCCTGGAAACACAGAACAGGATGTTGCTGTTCTGTAATGTGTTGCAGAGGAATCAGCTCTGAGCATAGAACAGAGGTACAGAGGTTTGAGAAGATCCAGGTCAGTTTTACCTTTCTTAACTCCTCTAGGAAGGCGTTAATTATTCCACTGTTTCTTGCTCAGACAGTGCTTATCTGGCTCCTATTGTCCATACTCAAAACACACTACTGTAATTTGTCTGACTTTGGGTCTCTATTCCTCCATGTCTGAGCTCATGGAGCTCAGAGGTGTGTCTAACTTGCCATAGTATCCCCATTGCTCCTAGCAAAAAGTCAGCTGCATCGCTAGCACCTCATAAACACTTGAGTGAGTATGATGGCATATAGACTGTTTAGATTATCCAACAGGTGGTTCTGTTCTAAGAGTGTGTCTCTTGTCTTCCCTGGACATCAGAAACTACATCACTTCTTGCTGCATGTGCTGGATAATAGTAAAGAGGTGCTGATTTTATGTATCCATGTGTTTTTTCTCTACTCAGTATCCTTGGGGCCTACAGCATGGATGTGATTACTAGCACATCGTTTGGAGTGAACATTGATTCCCTCAACAACCCACGAGATCCCTTTGTGGAAAATACCAAGAAGCTCTTAAAATTTTCATTCCTTGATCCATTTTTCTTCTCATTATGTATGTACACTACATTTTTTCCTTTTTCTCCTCCCTTTTTTCTTTCCTTCTCCTCCTCCTTCCTCCCTCCTTCCTACCATTCTACAATTTTATTGAGATATAACTTCATTTAAAATATAATGTATAATTCAATTGTTTTTTTGGCTTGAATTTTGTTGATAAAGGAATAGATGAAGAAAATGTGGTATCTTTTTGAGCCATAAAATGAAGGGAAATTCTGTATTGGACAATGTGGATGGATCCTGAAGGCTTTACAATAAGTGAAGAGTCAGACAGAGAAAGATAGATACTGTATGATCTTAATACATGTAGGATAAAACAACAATAACAACCAAGAACCAAAATCATACAGAGATGAGATCAGATTTGTGGTTACTAGAGGTAGGAGTGAAGGGGTAGGAATTGAATGAAGGTGATCAAAGGTACAAACATTCAGTTATAAGGGAGATAAGTACTGGACTGGTAATTTACAACGTGATGACTATAGTTAACACTGCTGTATGATGTATTTGTAAATTGCTGAGAGAGTTGATTCTAGAAGTTATCATCATAATGGAAAATATTGTGTTCTTTTTAACTATATGAGATTATGGATCATGTCAGCTAATCTTATTGTGGTGATCGTTTCTTTATAAATGTTTGTTAAGGAATTATGCAGTGCATCTTAACTTATATGTAGTATCATAGGTCTATTATAAGTCAACAAAACTGAAAAAAAGTGGTTTTGGGGACATTCAAAGATTCATGTAACTTTTACCGCAGTCAATGGTTAGAATATTATCCTCTCAGAAATCCTATAGTTTTTTAGTATTACATCCCGCTTTCCTTAACCCTAAGCCACCACGAATCTACTTTCTATCTTAATTGATTTGCCTTTTCTGGATCTTTATACAGATAGAATCATATAACATGTTATCTTTGTGGCTGGCTTCTTTCATTAGTATAATGCTTTCAAAGTTTATTTTTGTTGAGGCATGCATCATTACTTCCTTTCTTTTTATGGCAGAATAATATTCCATTATATGGACATACTGCATTTTGTTTATCCTTCATTCATTTGATGGACATTTGAGATGTTTACAACTCTTGAGTATTTGGAATAGTGCTGCTATGAACATTCGTGTAAAAGTTTTTTGTTTGAATACCTGTTTTCAACCTTTTTGGTAGTTACTCAGAGGTGGAATTACTAATGTATGTAGTAACTTGCTATATAGCTAAGGTATAGTAAGTGTGTTTAACTTAATAAGGAACTGCCAAACTGTTTTCCACAATAGCTACATGATTTACATTCCTACCAGAAGGTATAAAGGTTCCAGTTTCTGACTATCCTTGATAGTCATGTGGTCTACACTTGTCTACCTTTTTGATGCTGTCTACCTTAATGGATGTGAAAGAGTATCTTATTGTGGTTTTGTTTTGCATTTCTCTATTGGCTAGTCAGGTTGAGTAATTTTTTGTATGCTTGTTGGCTATTTCATAACTTTTTTAGATAAATGTGTATTCAGATTATTGCCTATTTATAGTTCAGTTGTTTGTCTTTTTGTTATTGAGATATAAGAATTCTCTGTATCATGTAGTATTCCATTGTATAGATAAACCACATCTTCTTGATCTATTCGTTCATAAATGGACACTTAGGCTCTTTCCATATTTTGGCTATTGTTGAGAGTGCTGCAATAAACATTGGGGTACATGTGCTCCTATGCATCAGCACTCCTATATCCCTAAGGTAAATTCCTAGCAATGCTATTGCTGGGTCATAGGAAAATTCTATGGTTAATTTTTTGAGGAACCTCCACACTGTTTTCCAGAGGGGCTGCACCAGTTTACATTCCCACCAACAGCGTAGGAGGGTGCCCATTTCTCCATATCCTCGCCAGCATCTAGAGTTCTCTGATTTGCTCATTTTAGCCACTCTGACCAGTGTGAGGTGGTATCTCAGTGTGGTTTTGATTTATATTTCCCCGATGAGGAGGAATGCTTAGCATCGTTTCATGTGTCTGTTGGCCATCTGGATGTCCTCTTTGGAGAAGTGGTTGTTCATATCTTCCGCCCATTTCTTTACTGGGTTGTTTGTTTTTCGGGTGTAGAGTTTGGTGAGTTCCTTATAGATTCTGGATATTAACAGAAGATGTGGTTTATCTATACGATGGAATACTACCTGGCAATGAGAAAGAATGAAATCTGGCCATGTGTAGCAACATGGATGGACCTTGAGGGTGTTATACTGAGTGAAATAAGTCAGGCAGAGAAGGACAAATACCATATGTTTGCACGTATAGGAGGATTAGGAGGAACTTAATGGAGGACCGCAGGGAAGAAGATGGGGGGGGGGAATAGTGGGGGAAGAGGGAGAGAGGCAAACCATGAGAGACTCTTGAATGCTGAGAACAAACTGAGGACTGATGGGTGTGGGGGGGGAGGGGAGAGATGGGCATGGAGGAGGACACTTGTGGGGATGAGCACTGGGTGTTATATGGAAACCAACTTGACAATAAACTATTTGTAAAAAAAAAAAAGACAAAAGGTTATATAAACCCTGTATTAACTGGAGTATACTCTTATAAAAGATAAACTCAAGAATTTCAATGGCTTAATACAAATATTGTTTGGTTTAATCTTAGGGGAAAGTGTTCAGTCTATTTCCATTAAGTGTGGTGTTAGCTTGGAGTTTTTGTAGATGTCCTTTATCAGATTGGGAATATTCTTTTCCTAGTTTGTTGAGTGTTTTTGTTGCAAAAAGGTGTCAGACAAAAGTATTGTCAAATACTTTTTCTGCATATATTGAGATGGCCATGTGCTTTTTAAAAAATATGTTGTTGTTATGCTATATTATATAACCTTGCATTGCTGGATAAGCTTCTCTTGGTTATGGTGTATCCTTCTTTTGATATGTTGCTGGATTCAGTTTGTTAGTATTTTGGTGAGGATATGTGCATCCTTGTCATAAAATACATTGGTTTGTAGTTTTCTTGTTCTTTGCTATCTTTGTCTGGTTTTATTTTCAGAGTAATACTGGCCTCATTGAATGAGTTTGGAAGTGTTCCTGCCTCTTCTATTTTTTGGAAGAGTTTGTGCAAAATTGATGTTGATTCTACTTGAAATATTTGCTAAAACTCACCTGTGAAACCATCTGGAGCTGAGCTTTTTGTAGGTAGTTTCTTCACCACAGCTCGGTGTTTTAATTTGTTTTTCAGATTGCCTATTTTTTTAATGTCACTTTCCAGTTTGTGTTTTCTAGGAATGTTTTCATTTCATCTAAATTTTCTAATTTATTGGCATACAGTTCATGGGATTCCTTTAGAGTCTTTTTTATCTCTGTAATGTCAGTAGTAATCTCTCCTTTCATTTCTGATGATAGTAATTTGAGTCTTCTCTCCTTTTTGCTTTAAGTCAGTCTAGCTAAATGAATGACCAAGCTTTTTTTATTTTGTAGTTCATATGTTTCTGCTCTTGTCTCTATTATTTGCTTCCTTCTACTTGCTCTGGGTTTAGTTTCCTCTTGTTTCTTTCTTTCTTTCCTTCTTTCCTTCTTTCCTTTTTCTCTTTCTTTCCTTCCTTCCTTCTTTCTTTCTTTCTTTCTTTCTTTCTTTCTTTCTTTCTTTCTTTCTTTCTTTCTTTCTTTCTTTCTTTCTTTCTTTCTTTCCTTCCTTCCTTCCTTCCTTCCTTCCTTCCTTCCTTCCTTCCTTCCGCCTGTCTTTTTTTTCTTTTCAGCATGTGTTTGACAGAAAGCTGGTTCCTTGATTTGAAATCTTGGTTCCTATGAAAGTAGACAATTAAGCAATAAAATTCTTTCTGGTCACAGTATTTGCTACATCCCATGAGTTTCGGTATGTCATGTGTTCATTTGTATCAATCTCTCTATAATTCCTAATTACCCTTTGATTTCTTCTTTGAACCATTGGTTATATAGGAGTAGAATGTTTACTTTCCTCATATTTGTGAGTTTCCCAATAATCTTTGTGTTTTTTTTTAAATAGTTTATTGTCAAGTTGGTTTCCATGTAACACCCAGTGCTCAGCACCACAAGTGCCCTCCTCCATGCCCATCTCCCCCCTTCCCCTCACCCCCATACATATCAGTCCTCAGTTTGTTCTCAGCATACAAGAATCTCTCATGGTATGCCTCCCTCCCTCTTCCCCACTATTTCCCCCTTCTTCTCCTTTACGGTCCTCCATTAAGTTCCTCCTAAACGTGCAAACACATGTTATCTGTCCTTCTCTGCCTGACTTATTTCGTTCAGGATAATATCCTCAAGTTTCATGCATGTTGCTACACATGGCCAGATTTCATTCTTTCTCACTGCCATGGAGTATTCCATTGTATAGATAAACTACATCATCTTGACCCATTCGTCCGTTGATGGACACTTAGGCTCTTTCCATATTTTGGCTATTGTTGAGAGTTCTGCTATGAACATTGAGATACATGTGCATCTATGCATCAGCACTCCAGTATCCCTTGAGCAAATTCATACTAGTGCTATTGCTGGGTCATAGGGGAGTTCTATGGTTAATTTTTTGAGAAATCTCCACACTGTTTTCCAGAGGGGCTACACCAGTTTACATTCCCACCAACAGTGTAGGAGGGTGCCCATTTCTCTACATCCTCGCCAGCATCTAGAGTTCTCTGATTTGCTCATTTTAGCCACTCTTCACTGGCATGAGGTGGTATCTCAATGTGGTTTTGATTTGTATTTGCCTGATGAGGAGGGGTGCTGAGCATCATTTCATGTGTCTGTTGGCCATCTGGATGTCCTCTTTGGAGAAGTGTCTGTTCATATCTTCTGCCCATTTCTTCACTGGATTGTTTGTTTTTCGGGTGTGGAGTTTGGTGAGTTCCTTATAGATTTTGGATACTAGCCCTTTATATGATATGTGATTTGCAACTATCCTTTCCCATTCCGTGGGTTGCCTATTAGTTTTACGGATTATTTCCTTTGCCATGCAGAAGTTTTAATCTGGATGAGGTCCCAATAGTTCATTTTTGTTCTTGATTCCCTTGCCTTTGGAGATGTGTCACATAAGAAATTGCTGCGGTGGAGGTCAAGGAGGTTGTTTCCTGCTTTCTTCTCTAGAGTTTTGATGGTTTCCTGTCTCACGTTCGGGTCCTTTATCCATTTTGAGTTTATTTTTGTGTATGGGGTGAGAAAATAATCGAGTTTCATTCTCCTGCATGTGCTGTCCATGTTGCTTTTTATAATTTCTTGAAATAGGCCCGGAGTGTAATGTACTTTCCTATTAGGACTACCTTTTCCGCATCTCATAGAGTTTGGATTGTTATATTTTCATTTGTTTCCATATATTTTTTAAATTTCTTCTCTAATTGCCTGATTGACCCTTTCATTCTTTAGTAGGGTGTTCTTTAACCTCCATGTTTTTAGAGGTTTTCCAGACTTCTTCCTGTGATTGATACCATTCCATTGTGATCTTACAGTGTGCATGGTATGATCTCAATTCTTTTATATTTATTGAGGGCTGTTTTATGTTCCTGTATGTGATCTACCTTGGAGAATGTGCCATGCACACTTGAGAAGAAAGTGAATTCCCTGGCCTCCGGATGTAGAGTTCTAAATATATCTGTCACATCCATCTGGTCCAAAGTGTCATTCAAGTCCATTTTTTATTTAGTGATTTTCTGCCTGGTTGATCTATCCATTGCTGTAAGTGGAGTATTAAAGTGCCTTGCTATTAGCACATTCTTATCCATAAGATTGTTTCTGTTTGTGATTAATTGTTTTATGTATTTAATGCTTCTTTATTCGATGCTTAGACATTTATAATTGTTAGTTCTTCCTGATGGATAGACCTTGTAATTATTATATAAAGCTCTTCTTTATCCCTTGTTACTGTCTTTAATTTAAAGTCCAGTTTGTCTGATATAAGTATAGCTACTCCAGCATTTTTTTAAAGAATTTTTAAAAAATGTTTTATTTGTTTCTAGGAGAGAGGGAGAGAGAGAGAGAGACAGCGTGAGCAGGGGAGGGTCAGAGAGAGAGGGAGTCACAGACTGAAACAGGCTCCAGGCTCTGAGCTGGCAGTCAGCACAGAGCCCGACGTGGGGCTCGAACCCACGAACCGCGAGATCATGACCTAAGCGAAAGTCGGACGCTTAACCAATAAGCCACCCAGGCGCCCCGACTCCAGCATTTTTTTGACTTCCAGTAGCATGATATATATTTCTCCATCTCCTTACTTTTAATCTGAAGGTATCTTCCAGTCTAAAATGTGTTTCTTTTAGATAGCAAATAAATGGATTTTGTTTTTTTATCCATTCTGCTACCCTATGTCTTTTGATTGGAGCATTCAGCCCATTTACATTTAGTGTTATTATTGAAATATATGGGTTTAGAGTCATTGTCTCCTTTATCGGAATCACGCTTGTGGTGGTGTCTCTAGTATCTTGCATTCCTTGTAACATTTCCCTCAGAGAGTTCCCCTCAGGATTTCGTGTAGGGCTGGTTTAATGGTGACAAATTCTTTCAATGTTTGTTTATTTGGAAAGACTTTTATCTCTCCTACTATTTTGAATGACAGGCTTGCTGGATAGAGGATTTTTGGCTGCATATTTTTTCTGTTCATCACATTGAAGATCTCCTGCCATTCCTTTCTGGCCTGCCATGTTTCAGTCGATTGGTCTGTTGCCACTCTGATAGGTTTCCCTTTGTATGTTAGGGTCCTTTTCTCCCCAACTCCTTTCAAAATTCTCTCTTTGTCCTTATATTTTGCCAGTTTCATTGTGATATGTCGTGCAGAAGATCGATTCAAGTTACGTCTGAGTGGAGATCTGTATGCCTCTTGGATTTCAATGTCTGTTTCCTGCCTAGGATGAGGAAGTTCTCGGCTATCATTTGTTTCAGGACTCCTACAGCACCTTTCCCTCCCCTCTCTCTTCCTCTTCTAGGATTCCTATGATATGGATATTGTTCTGTTTGATTGTATCGCTGAGCTCTCGAACTCTTCTTTCTTGTTCCTGGATCAGTTTATCTCTCTTTTTCTGAGTTTCTTCTTTTTCTATAATTGCGTCTTGTAAATCACTTATTCTCCTTTCTGCCTCTTCAATGCGTGCATTGGACACCTCAATTTTATTTTGTTTCTCATTTATAGCATTTTTTAATTCATAGTAACTAGTTTCAAGCTCCATAGTGTTGTAGCCATAGTTTCTCTGATGTCCGCCATGCTTTTTTCAAGTCCAGCTATTAATTTTATAATTATTGTTCTAAATTTTTGTTCAGTTATGTTGCTTATATCTGTTTTGAGCAGTTCTTTAACTGTCATTTCTTCCTGGAATTTCTTTGGAGGAGAGTTCTTCCGCTTTGTCATTTCGGTTAGCTTTACATCTCTAGTTAATTTTAAAAGCTTGTTGTACACATGGCCCCTGAGAGTTCTGTGGTATTAGAGAGGGCCCTTTTGACTGTTCAGGGCCTTTCTGTTCAGGAAGTGTTCTTTTGATGGTGTCTCTTGGTTTCTCTTGTTGATCGTTTGGTTATTTTGTTTCCCTACTGGTAGTGGTATTTGGGACTCTCCACCATATGTAGTTTGGCTTGTTTTTTGAGGTAGTGAGACTCCAGCACTGTTAGATGAAGTTCAGTCTACATCCACACTTTCCAAAGTGTGGTTCTTGAAATTCTTCAGATGGTTTTGTCTTTTACAAATGTCTTCAAAGTGTTAGAATCTGTAGAAGCATGGTTTTATAGTTGGCAGAGAATAGTGTATGAAACTCTTGGAATATCACTAGTAGTGTCTGTCAGGCTTTTTTCAATCAAGCTTCATGTTCGTAGTTCAGGAGCCAGTATGCCAGAGTCCTGCTCCGGCCAGATCCAGGGGTCCCTGAAAGATGGACGGTGTCAGCAAAAGAAGGATGAGAGAGCCACAAGAATCTTTCTGGTCACTAGGCAGCGTCTCTCCTGACAACAATTTCTCAAGCAGCATGATTTTTTGCCTTTAAAAAATGTTTATTTATTTGTTTTGAGAGACAGAGGGAGAGTGTGAGCAGAGAGAGATAGTGAGAAGAGTGAGGGGGGGGAGAGAGAGAGAGAGAGAGAGAGAGAGAGAATTGCAAGCAGGCTCCATGCTGTCAGCACAGAGGCTGATGTAGGGCTCCATCCCAGAAACCATGAGATCATGAGCTGATCAGAAATCAAGAGTGGGTCTCTTAACCAACTGAGTCACCTAGGTGCCCCTTAAATAGCATGATTAGTTAGACTAGCATATTATGGTCTGATTTATCCAAAGAGACTCCAGTCCAAAAGTAAAAGCTAAGATATCCAGGAATGTAATTCTGTTGCTTTGGTTACTCCAAAGATGTGGAAGGGGACACTGATCTCACTGCTATAGTGGTGGTCTGCATGTGTGACTTCCTTGGCTCAGCCATTGGCTTGAAATTTCAAGTAAAGGTCATAGAGGGAATGACTCCTGGTGTCTTTTACTCCTGTGATTGGAAGGAGAAATTATAATTATTTCAAGTAAATTTTGCATTTTCACTGTGCTTTCCATTGTTCTTTTCCCTTACAGTGCTCTTCCCATTCCTTACCCCAGTTTTTGAACTATTTAATATCTGGCTGTTCCCAAAAAGTGTTATTAATTTTTTCACAAAATCTGTAAAGAAGATGAAGGAAAGTCGCCTCAAAGATAAACAAAAGGTAAATCCAGTGGTGGTTACATGTGGGTGTTCGTTTTTGATCTTTTACTGAGTTGTATACATCTCATGTGTGCACTTATTTTTTTAAATTTAAATTCAAATTAGTTAACATACAATGTAGTCTTTGCTTCAGGAGTAGAACCCAATGATTCATCTCTTATGGTAGGCAGAGAACTGTAGAGTTTAGAGCAAAAGAGTTCTAATGTTTCAAGGAGAATGAAGAAGGCAGAGGATAGGGAAGGAGATAAGAAAATAAGTCAGGGAATGTTTAAAATGTAATAATAAGCATGACAACTAGTATGCCACTGAATAAAATTTGGTGAGAGAAAAACCACCACTTTCCTTCAATAAGTTGTGAAAGGGTAAAAATTATTGTGTAAAATCATTTTCCTGGTAGCATAATTTCTAAGATCTTATACTGACAAATGATTCTTTCAACTCCAAGGCTCTTATTTTACACCTTCTCCAGTGGAAGATCCTATCAGGTACAGGGTGGGGTATAGTCTGTGTTAAACTTGAGCCTGCCATTGTCTGGAGTGGGGAGGAGTCTTCTCTGGACACTCTGGCTGCAAGCTGGCTAAGCCAGTTTTGCCTTCATGCCTTTTCTGGTGGCCAGAAAAGAATGTATGCAGGACAGGGAGACAGGGATAGGTACCCCAGGTAGTCCCTGAAGATTGTGCAGAGTTCTGAGAGGGTGGGGAATGGAAGATGCTGATACAGAAGCTCCCCATGGAGTTTGCAGAGGTCAGGGGATTGATCTATGTGACCATTCATTAAGAATTATGGACAGAGTTAGAAATGACTGGCATAGGGACTTTCTCCCGAGCAAACAGATATGACAGGAGAGGGAGCAGGCAATTCTTTGGCCAGGAAGCTGTGGTCAAAAGCCAGAAAAGCTGAAGGCAAGAACAAAAAACAGTGGGACACAATAGCTGGATTCCTGTCAGGGAAGCATCCTGTTCTCTAAATTGTAGCTGGATGTTTTTAGTGATGACTCTGTAAAAGCTAGTTAGATCTTTGTGCAAAAGGGACCATATTCTCAGGAAAGAAGTTAAGTCCTACACCCCTCACTCAATTTTGACTTCACAAGTGACTTTTTGTCCTTGTAATTTCTTTCTGCTTCCAGCACCGAGTGGATTTGCTTCAGCTGATGATTAACTCCCAGAATTCCAAAGAAACAGACAGCCATAAAGGTAAGCAAGGAGAGCTTCAGCTTCAGAGTGCCAGTGATGGTAGTCTCAGAGACATGGGGTAGTTCTCAGATGTGTAGAAAGGTTTCCAATGGATGGAATTTCTGCAAATTGAAGAACAACATGTGCTCAGATACAAATGGTAGCCAGCCAGGAACACTTTCCAGAAGCCCACAGATCATTGAAGAGTAATGGTAGACAAAGTAGTCAGTGGTCTGCTGCAGGGGAGCTTGTTTCCAATGTGAATCCTCTGGCCTACTCCAGATCCACTGAATCAGAACTTCTGTCTGGAAATTCATATCAAGGCTTCATCACACCAGGAGGCACAGGGCCCCGGTGTTGGTGACCTTCACTTGGAAAAGTTGGTTAATGTTATTTTCATTGGCTTAATCTACTGTTAAGGTTTTTAAAAATGTTTGTTTATTTTTGAAGAGTACAAGTGGGGGAGGGGCAGAGAGAGGGAGGTAGAGGATCTGAAGCAAGATCGATGCTGACAGTCTGACAGTGCAGAATCTACATGGGTCTCAGACCCACAAACCATGAGATTGTGACCTGAGCCAAAGTTGGACGCTCAACTGACTGAGCCATCCAGGTACCCCAGTCTACTCTAAAGTTTTATTTTTCCCTTTCTAATTAATAAGTGACTGGTACTGGATGCCTTTGCAATTGTGTAAATACTGTGCTGCTCTTCAGACATTCACCTACTACTTTTATCATCCATGGATGGTATTTGACTAAAACCATTATTACTATGGTGGTTGATCTCATATATTACTATTTTAGTCCCTGACATAATTCTTTTTTTATTTTTTTTATTTTTTTATTTTTTAAATGTTTATTTTTGAGAGAGAGACAATACGTGAGTGGGGGAGGGGTAGAGAGAGGGAGACACAGAGTCTGAAGTAGGTTCCAGGCTCTGACCTGTCAGCAGACCCCAATGTCGGGCTCAAACTCATGAACGATGATCATGACCTGAGCCGAAATTGGATGCTTAACCAAATGAGTTACTCCGGCACCCCCAAATTAAACATTTTTATCATGAATATTTCATAAATGAGGCTCTAGGCACTTCAGTTTTTTAACATCATGAGAAATAATTCACCAATCATACAATGGACTCAAATTTAATATTTAATGTTTTTTTGTATATTTATAGATATTTGTAACTATCACATCAGTGTTTGACATTTCATCACCTCAAAGAAATAAAACCAAAAAATCCCTTTAGTGATTTCTTCCTCCCTCACTACAAGCCTTCATCTCCCTAGACCTAAACAACAACTAATCTATGTTCTGTCCCTATAAATGTGCCTATTTCATTCATTTATATTTTAAAATAGTTTATGGTAAAGTTGGTTTCCATATAACAGCCAGTGCTCATCCCCACAAGTGCCCTCCTCCATGCCTATTATCCCCCTTCCCTTCCCCCCCACCCCTATCAGCGCTCAGTTTGTTCTCGGCATTCAAGAATCTATCATGGTTTGCCTCCCTCCCTTGCCCTAACTATTTTTCCCCTTCTTCTCCCCCACGGTCCTCCGTTAAGTTCCTCCTAATCCTCCTATACGTGCAAACATATGGTATCTGTTCTTCACTGCCTGACTTATTTCCCTCAGCATAACACCCTCAAGTTCCATCTATGTTGCTACACATGGCCAGATTTCATTCTTTCTCATTGCCATGGAGTATTCCATTGTATAGATAAACCACATCTTCTTGATCCATTTGTCAATTGATGGACAATTAGGCTCTTTCCATGTTTTGGCTATTGTGGAGAGTGCTGCTATGAACATTGGGGTACATATGCCCCTATGCATCAGCACTCCTGTATCCTTTGGGTAAATTCCTAGCAGTGCTATTGCTGGGTCATAGGGGAGTTCTATTGTTAATTTTCTGAGGAACCTCCACACTGTTTTCCAGAGGGTCTGCACCAGTTTACATTCCCACCAACAGTGTAGGAGGGTGCCCATTTCTCCACATCCTCGCAACCATCTAGAGTCCTCTGATTTGCTCATTTTAGCCACTCTGACCAGCGTGAGGTGGTATCTCAGTGTGGTTTTGATTTGTATTTCCCTGATGAGGAGGGATGCTAAGCATCGTTTCATGTGTCTGTTTGCCATCTGGATGTCCTCTTTGGGGAAGTATCTGTTCATATTTTCTGCCCATTTCTTCACTGGATTGTTTGTTTTTCGGGTGTGGAGTTTGGTGAGTTCCTTATAGATTTTGGATACTAGTCCTTTATCTGATATGTCATTTGCAACTATCTTTTCCCATTCCGTCGGTTGCCTATTAGTTTTATGGATTGTTTCCTTTGCCGTGTAGAAGCTTTTAATCTTGATGAGATCCCAGTGTTTATTTTTGCTTTTGATTCCCTTGCCTTTGGGAATGTGTCAAGTAAGAAATTGCTGCGGTTGAGATCAAGGAGGTTGCTTCCTGCTTTGTCCTCTAAGGTTTTGATGGTTTCCTGTCTCACATTCAGGTCCTTTATCCATTTTGAATTTATTTTTGTGTATGGTATGAGAAAATGATCTGGTTTCATTCTTCTGCATGTTGCTGTCCAGTTCTCCCAGCACCATCTGTTAAAGAGGCTGTCTTTTTTCCATTGGGTAATCTTTCCTGCGTTGTCAAAGTATAGTTGACTGAACATTTGTGGGTCCAATTCTGGGTTCTCAATTCTATTCCATTGGTCTATGTGTCTGTTTTTGTGCCAATACCATACTGTCTTGATGATGACAGCTATATAGTAGAGGCTAAAGTCTGGGATGGTGATACCTCCCGTTTTGGTTTTATTTTTCAGTATTACTCTGGCTATTCGGGGTCTTTTGTGGTTCCATACAAATTTTAGGATAGTTTGTTCTAGTTTTGAGAAGTATGCTGGTGCAATTTTGATTGGGATTGCGTCGAATGTGTAGATTGCTTTGGGTAGTCATGACATTTTAACTATATTAATTCTTTCAATCCATGAGTATGGAATGTTTTTCCATTTCTTTGTGTCTTCTTCAATTTCCTTCATAAGTTTTCTATAGTTTTCATCATACAGATCTCTTATATCTTTGGTTAGATTTATTCCTAGGTATTTTATGTGTTTTTATGTGTGTGTGTGTGCAATTGTGAATGAGATCAGTTTCTTGATTTCTCTTTCTGTTGCTTCATTATTGGTGTATAAAACTGCAACCAATTTCTGTGTGTTGATTTTGTACCCTGCAGCTTTGCTGAATTCATGGATCAGCTCTCGTAGGCTTCTGGTGGAGTCTGTCAGGTTTTCTATGTAGAGTGTCATGTCGTGTGTGAAAAGTGGAAGTTTTACTTTTTTGCCAATTTTGATGTCTTTTCCTTTGTTGTCTAATGGCTGATGCTAGAACTTCCAGCACTATTAATCAACAGTGGTGAGAGTGGACATCTCTTTCATGTTCCTGTTCTCAGGGGGAAAGGTCTCAGTTTTTCCTCGTTGAGGATGATTTTAGCTGAAGGCTTCTCGTAGATGGCTTTTATGATGTTTAAGTAAGTTCCTTCTATCGTGACTTTCTCGAGGGTATTTATTAAGAAGGGATGCTGTATTTTGTCAAATGCTTTTTCTGCCTCTATCTACAAGATCATATTGTTTTTATCTTTACTTTTGTTGATGTGATGTATCACATTGATTGATTTGTGAATAATGAACCAGCCCTGTAACCCAGGAATGAATCCCAGGAATGATCTTGGTGGATAATTCTGTTTATGTGCTGTTGGATTCGATTTGCAAGTATCTTGTTGAGGATTTTTGCATCCACAGTCATCAAGGATATTTGCCTGTAGTGTTTTTTGGTTTTTTGGTTTTTTGGGTTTTTTTTCTGGGTCTCTGGCTTGGGAATCAAAGTGATGCTGGCTTCATAAAATGAGTCTGGAGGTTTTCCTTCGATTTCCATTTTTTGGAATAGCTTGATAAGAATGGGTATTAATTCTGTTTTAAATATCTGTTAGAATTCCCCAGGGAAGCCATCTGGCCCAGGGCTCTTATTTGTTGGGAGATTTTTGATAACTGATTCAATTTCCTCACTAGGTATGGGTCAGTTCAGATTTTCTATCTCTTCCCCTGAGAATTTTGGTAGTGAGTGTGAGTTTAGGAATTTGTCCATTTCTTCTAAGTTGTCTAATTTGTTGGCATATAAGTTTTCATAGTATACCCTGATAATTGCTTGTATTTCTGTGGGGTTGGCTGTAACGAATCCATTTTCATTCATGATTTTGTCTTTTTGAGTGCTCTCCCTTTTCTTTTTGTGAAGCCTGGCTAGAGATTTGTCAGTTTTGTTAATTTTTTTCAAAAAACCAACTCTTGGTTTCATTGATCTGTTCAACTGTTTTTTGTTTGTTTCTATATTGTTTATTTCTGCCCTGATTTTTATTATTTCTCCCCTACTGGGTTTGGGGTGCTGTTGTTGCTATCCCTCTGGTTCCTTTAGGTGCACCCTTAGATTTTGTACTTACGCTTTTTCTAATTTTTTGAAGTAGGCCTGGAGTGCAATGTACTTTCCTCTTAGGACTGCCTTTGCTGTATCCCATAGAGTTTGGATTGTTGTGTTTTCATTTTCATTTGTTTCCATATATTTTTTAATTTCTTCTCTAATTGCCTGATTGACCCATTCATTCTTTAGTAGGGTGTTCTTTTTTTTTTTTTTTAAGTTTTTATTTATTTCTAGGAGAGAGCGAGAGACAGCGTGAGCAGGGGAGGGTCAGAGAGAGAGGGAGTCACAGACTGAAACAGGCTCCAGGCTCCGAGCTGGCAGTCAGCACAGAGCACGACGAGGGGCTCGAACCCACAAACCGCGACATCATGACCTAAGCGAAAGTCGGACGCTTAACCGACTAAGCCACCCAGGCGCCCCTAGTAGGGTGTTCTTTAACCTCCATATTTTTGGAGGTTTTCCGGACTTCTTCCTGTGATTGATTTCAAGTTTCATACCACTGTGATCTGAGAGTGTGCACGATATGATCTCAATTCTTTTATATTTATTGAGGGCTCTTTTATG